CTTGATTCAAAAATCGTACGACATACAGCAATCGCCATCACTTGACTTATTTTTTGCCTTTCCTTGCCTTTAAAGGAGTGCCCTTTGCCGTGCTGATGTTGCTACATGCCTTACTTCTTGCCTATCTCACGCTGCGAATTTTATACTAAACATTAAATCTGTTACGAAAAAAGAACTAAACAAAATGAACACAAAACGATCAGCTTTAAAAAAGGACTCGTAACTGGAAAAATGAAAAAAGAATGTTAACAACAAATACTTTTCCACGCCCAACCCAGTTCTGCGGAATCAGAATCAACGTTGAGTTTAAACAAGCGATTGGAGTAAAGTGCCATGCAGATTTAAATTTTTCCCACTTGTGACGAATGCAGCTATCGATATTTTTTGCATGCTAGCATGCTAGTTAACATTCGTGTCAGTCAGCTGTTGGCTCTCACGCTAGCCAATAGTATCTTCCTGCCTATTCGTGTCAGCCAGCTATAGGCTCTCACTCTGGCCAGTAGAAAATGGCCGCAAACTACATTAAAACTGCCGTAGAAGCATGAAAAAATCGATTATTTCCACTATCGAGAGGAGTTGGGAAATGCAACTTGGATCCTGTGCATGTAAATTTTGGTGCAAATCCGTCGAAAATTGTGGATGTGCATTCGTTACACACACACACACACACACACACACACATCCTACGTTTTATAGATAGAGATGAAAAATGCGACACCAATATCTGAACACGCATTGAACTAGCAAAAGAAGCATTCCAAAAGCTAAGCAGGGTGCTAAGAAACAGGAAAATTTCGTTAGAAACAAAAAAAATGTATGTTGGATTGCTATGTGATATCCATCCTCTTTGTATGTCACTCTCCTCACGGATGAGGAAAAAAAACTAGAGGTAGAATAAATGTGGTTCTGCAGGAGAACATTGAAAATTCCATGGACGGAGCGAGTAAGCATCGAGGAATTCTTTAACAAAATTTTAACAGAAAGAAAACTGATACTCAAAATCAGGAAAGGACCACTGAAATTTCTTGGAGGCATAATGAGGAAGTGGGGCTTGGAAAACTTAACTCTTACGAAGCATATTGAGGAAAGATAGGGCAGTGAGCCAGTTACTTAACGAGATTTTTTGAATAGAGGGCAAAACGGGAGGTGGGGGGCTTAGCAAAGAGAAAAAAAACTACTAAGAGCGACACAAGTTAGGGAGAGCCACGATCGCCTATGTCCGGAAGGGACGCAGCACATAGAAAAATAAGAAGCATTCTTAGTTTTTACAGTTAAGTCTAGGAAATATTTATATACCATTATTCTTGTATTTGTTGATGCATTTGCATATTTGGCACTCTTTGGAATCAAATGACAATAAATCTCTTCAAATCTCCTACAATTTTGTCTGTACTTTTACTCACCCCACTCCTGGAATCTATCCAGCCTTTCCTCTATGGTACTTGTACGTAAACTTTTATGAATTTAAGCGCAGTACAAGATTGGCGGGAAGGTCTCTTAATTTTACATTTGAAATGGCTAGAAGAGACCGTAAGTTCTATGCTAACAGTTTTTTCTATCGCACTTCTCGCTTGTGAAACTTTTTTACGGCTTCTTGCTTCCCAATCAACTTTGATCTTCGAACATTTTAATACAATGTCAATCGTTATCGTCTTAATTCTTTTATTATTCTCTCTCCTTAATAGTGATTTTTCTCATATTCTCTAACACTTCGAAACTTCTTGCGTCTTTGTGGCTTTCTTTTTGCCTTGCTTGGTGTGAAAGGATTTTTAAAAAAGTTCCAAGTGAGCTATTTATTATGATTGAGTGATTGATTGATTCATTTTCTACGGCTTATCATCCCTTTTGGAAGTTATTTAAAGCCAGAAATCTTTTAGATTGTAAGAATATTTTTGGAAATAGTAATGGTTTAGTGATACAAGTCCTACTAATCAACCCATAGTTTGGCGAAGAAATGGTATATTCATAATTTTCCTAAGGGTATTTGCGCATAAGTGAATGTAACGAACCCAACTGGAATTGGAACTCTCCGATTAACAATCCCGTGCCATTATCAATTACACCACTGCACATTCAAGCTTACAGTACCTGGTATTCCTAAGCGGTCACCCATTTTGGTATTGACCAGGCTCGATGTTGCTTAACTTCGGTAACGGTACGGAAACTGGTTATTTATTATCAGTATTTATTATCAGGTTTGCAATATAGTACTGGTTTGCAGTTCAGGTTTGCAATTTAGTGCTTGTTAAGACCAAAATGGAACAAGTTGAGTACTGCACAATGTTATTTGACTCCAGAAATAAAGATTTAGTATTAAAATAAATTTTAGCTTTCGTTCTTTTTTCTTTTATTTTTTTCTTACAGTTTAAATACTTAAGGTTTATTCTTTCAGGATTTGCTAAATATTAAAAAGGTAGCATAGATATTATCTTGTTCAAGCAGAGACTCTAACACACAAAAAAAAACGCCTTTTCTTTCCCAGTGAATGGTATTTCTATACATGAAAAGAAAAAATAGTAAACATAATATTTTGAATCGTAAAATTTGAAATCATTTGAACGAGAATTGGTCAAGTTATTAGATTTCGAAATGTTATCGTCTTGATACCTTATTCATACCTTTCCCAAGGGTATTAGCACGTAAATGAACGAATTCTAGTCGCATCCATTACATTCATATACGCGCTAATACCCTTGGGAAAGGTCTTGTCCTCTTCTTCTCCCCCCAGCTATGGGTAAATAGCAGGACAGACCGGGTTCTATAACTGCGGGAAGAAATCTGTCTCGTCAGTAATGTAACGAAAGATACATGATCGCCTAAGCGTGTATCACCCATGGCACCTAACTGACTGATCATCTTAACTAATGTCCTTTTCCAATTACATATGTTACCCATTTTGTTGTTGCTGTTGGAAGTGTTCAATTGATGTGTTGTTTTTTTGTTTTGTTTTTTTTGTTTTAAATTATTTTGTTAAATCTCTTTGGGATCGTGTAGCGCCAGTCTATAGGGTCTGATGAAGGATTGGATTTTTTAAGATCTAAAGGATTCATCCCGTGGAAGCCATTTTAATCATTGATCTGAAAAAATGGTTGTATACAGGTGACGATTTAGATATTTCTGATTTAATTGGATGGCATACATGACATCCATATGAAAATCTCGACCTGACGAGACTATTGAAGAACATGACTCGAGATTTTAGATGATTTTCCATGTAGATATAAATGCAGTATCAAGGACGTAATGATGATAGTGAAATGAGCCGTTTCCATACAAGAAACATTCAACATTCATTGATCGAACAGGTAGCGTTACTGTTTTGGTTTTGTAACATCTTATGGTATTGGACAAAATTACCCAAAATAGACTAGAGTTCAATTTCCTTATCCCCAATTTGATTGGGAAAGGTTCTGATACTCACTGAAGTTATCCCTGGTAGCCCATGCCTTAAAGAAATACAAAAAATTGTTATCATAGTTACATCTCACACTTTATAAAAAGCTTTATCAATGTAAAATGTGTGTGATCTTATGGAGTTTTATTTTTATTTTATTTATTTATTTGATAAAAATGTTCAGTAAAAATGTTATGATACTATTCCTAGCCTTAGGTCTCTGGTTAGGACCCGGAAGGAAATGAGTATACAACAGAAATCAAAGGAAATAATAATAATAATAATAATAATAATAATAATAATAATAATAATAAAATCGAAATATCAAAAATGTGGCTCATGAGAACATCAACAATCTCTGTTGTAGTTGGAGCCCTCGAATTGGTTGGAAAAGATTCCAGTAGACTAATTGAAGGGATTCCTGGAAGACCATGCCTTAAAGAAATACAAAAAAATTGTTCTCACGAGTACAGCCCACAACTTACGAAGGGCTTTATCTATGTAAAATATGTGTGTGAGGGGGGGCAGTGGAAAATGTCATGATGCCATTTCTGACCTTAGGTCTCTGGGAGAAAATGTGTACACACCAGAAATCAAAGGAAATAAAATAATGATAATAATAATAATACAACTAGGAAAATACGTGAAAATTACAAGCATTTAACGTATTTTCAGGTTAGTTGAACTTCTGCCATAGAGAGCTCAAAAGATAACACGATAAATTAAGAAAGATTTAAGTGACTTAAATTAGGATATAGAGATAGTCAAAATAATAAATTAGGATATAGAAATAGTCAAAATATATAAATATATATCATCGTCATATAGGCACCTCGTTAGGCTGGGTAGATGTTAGCGAGCTAATCTAGAACACCCGTACTACTGTGAAGACAGATTGATATTTACTCGGTGCCATAATGAATAACATTGCACCAAAACGAAACTAAGCTTAGTAAATAACTTTCGCTTAGCCATATATAGATATGAATATAGACGAAAATTAAAATTGAAACAACTTGAAGGACGTTAATATTTTTTATTTGGATGCAGTACGTTCATGTTCGGAGGTAGTAGATGATATAATAACATTTTCAGCCTTCAGTCATCTTGTGATTTAATAACACTCATACCATTGAACCATCTGTGTCTAAGCTTCAGACAGTGATGAATAATACGATAAGAGTAAGTGCAAAATGTCATGTTACGGACACACGCAAACCGTTTAAGATGCAGTCGGAATGTGTGCGGCCGCATGCTAATTGTTTCGATGTTGGTAGCAATAATTAAAGAAACATGCGCCCTTAAACCAGGTTCTGAACGAACACATAGCAAGATGCTCGCCATGATCAACCCATTATAAAGCAGATAAGACGGCGTCAGACGCACAGATCAGATCAAATGTGATATCAGGTATTAACACTGTTGGGAATCGTTTACATTCAGCAGGACTACGGGTACGCGTATCTCACGCCAGATTTCCAGTGTCTCAGAACTGCGTCATGCACGTCTCCCGTGGTGTCGCAAGAGAATCACCTTGGGGATCGGATGACGATCTGTAATGTTTATTGATTAAAATACTTAAAATGCATTCTGCTATCACTCAAGTAATGCTGAAACACCGGTTCCCGAACGACCATCGAAGTTAAGCAACATCTAGCCTGGTCAGTACCTAGATGGGTGACCGTTAGAGAATACCAGGTGCTTTAAGCTTGAATGTGCGGGTGGTGTAATGCAAAGCTCGGAAATTTTAATCGGAGAGCCAAGTTCCAATTCCCGTTGGGTTTGTTATATTCACTTACGCGGATATAACTTTAGGAAAGGTATGAATCCACCACTTCTCCCCACAACTATGGGTTAATTAGTGGGACTTGTATCACTAAACCATTATTATATCCAAAAATAAATTCTTACAATCTAAAAATATTTTATGGCTTTAAATAACCTACAAAGAGCTGATAAACCGTAGCAAACGAACCAATCAATCAAAAAAAGTAAGTAACAGTCATTTGTGTGTACGACGTAGACCGAGGGAGTGACATCTTCCAGGGTGTATTCCTCCAAGACTTATAGAACCAAGATCCTGACAACAGGGTGTTGGTCGCTAGCCTTTGTTTGTGGAGGGAACTTTGAACAATGTCATGTCTGCTCAGAGTATTGTTAAGAGTACTGCTGCCATTCTTACACCAAGAAGTCGATGCTCTATTCCAGCAGGATAATGCCCGCCCACTTGATGCCTATGCTACTCAACATGCGCTGACATGGATGAGACATAATGGGACGACGCCTGACTTTTTTCTTATTATATTCATTTTGTAATGTTTACTTAAAGTTGATAATTTCGATGCTTTACGTCTTTCTTGATATTATGAATGTTTTTTTATCTTTGCATACGCAACACCAGATTCTTCAAATATTTTCTTTTTTTCATTTTTTTTCTGTTTTTTTCATTTTTTTATTTTGGCTTATTAGCCTTTTCATTTTTTCTTAGATCTCTTTTCCCATCCTTAAAGCCAAATTTATTTTCTTATTTTTATCTTGCAAGATTACTGTTAAAATAGCTAAGTGCACTTCTACTCCAACAGTTTCTTTTCTCACTTTTCCCGCCTGTGAAACTCCCTTCCGTTTACTTGCTTCCCTGATAACTACAATCTTCAAAAATTTAAATGCAACGTCAATTGCCATCTTCTATCTTCTTGAATCCCGTTCACCTTTTGTCCTTTCCTCAATCCACCCTATACTCAGTCTTTTCTCTCACTTTCACTCCTTGTAACGCCCTGCATACTAGTGACATTTCTACCTTGATTGGGGTGAAATGATTAAAAAATATATATCTTTATTACAACTCATAGTAAACTTTATATATCTGACCTTATTCAATTAATCAATAAAAGTTCAATTGACTTATCTTAACTGACCGACGCTAGTGTTTCGCCTCGAAACGCTCTTTAGCATCAGGTATTTGTAAGCATCTCGCCCTGAAGAGCGTTTGGACGCTAAACTCCGGAGTCGCTCAGTTAATTCAACTTTTATTTATTATTTAAATATTATGCCGCTAGTTACCTAATGAGCACCTTATTTGGTCTAAAATACTTTAAATTTTCGTAATTTCACTTATTTTTTTAAAGTTGTATTATTATTATTATTGTATCTGAAGTTTAAAAAATATTAATAATTATACTATTGTATATGTATATTTACAATCAACACTCGATAACCCCATGCCATTAAATAAGTTATTATTATTTACATTCGAAATAATGTCGTCACCTTTGATGTTATTATCACAAAATTCAGGCTGCTGTGCTCTCCGGCCTTCTTTCGAAACGTTGTAACAATAACAATAAAGTTGAGGACATTAGTCCAAATGTAAATGAGGATAAATCCTTATCCCTGAAATTCAAACTGAAATAATTTATCATTGAAAACATTTCTAACAAAAACGGATATTTAGGCTGAAATATTACCCGCTAGAATATTATGTTAAAATATTAACATATTTATGGATTGGTCAGATTCTTCATTGCTTATCTCTGTCGAATAGGCGATAACTGGCGCTTTCAACGTGAAGTGCGATTTAACTGTTACCACATTTCTTTCTTTCTTTTGTGCGATATATATTACCTCTTTCTCACTTTAGATTTTGCATGTGTGTGTGTCAGAATGTGTCTCTGTACGTATGTGTTATAAAGTAATTAATAAATCATAAACCATGCTATAATCTGTTTACACACCAAAGGTTTTCTTCTGGCTCCAAAAAATCCTAAGACGAATGTTTGATAAAATTTGTGATAACAAAAGTCAGTGGTGAACATTTTCAGTGTTGAGGGAAGAAGTTAAAAATTCTAAGTTGTGACTTAGAGATACATTGACATTAAATATTTGATAAGATATTTAAAACAATTAAATAAAAAAAAAAATGAACGCACATCAAGAGACTGATAAGTCATTATTAATCTGCGTAAAGGGATTGGTGTTTATGACTGATATATTTATAGCATTTTATTCACGCCAGGAAAAACTAGAGCTCTGAATCGAATTTAATGTTAAAAAGCAACCTTTATCCTAAGAGGAGTTGATCTATGGTGACTTCAGTATGTAATGGGCTAACCTTAAGTGAGATCAAAATAAACTTTTCCCCACCATAACATCAGAGGAGCCAGGAGCATCACGGATTTGATCTAGAAGGCGGCCTTATAAGCAGAATCGGACCTAAAAAGATATCAGTGGCTGCCTCCGACATGTAAACATGTGGTCGACTCAGCTGATCTTAGGATGTGCGCACGCAGGGAAACCGGATAACAGGAAGTTTTGTAAGCACCTCACCCGAAAAGGGAAAATCCCAAATCTCTAAATCCCTCGTGAGAAGATCAACGTTCGAAGAAAGTACCCAAAACTACACACTCTCACGCTGTCCAAAAGTGAATAAACAATAATTTTACGCATAAAAATTTTAGTCTCGTGTTCTTATTTGTCTCTGCAACAATAATATCATATAGTAAATATTAATTCTTTAAATAGACATTTTTGTTTAGCCTTGTCTATTTCAAGTTCTAGTCTACGAGCATGCATTGAGACCTTGAATAAATCTTTAAGCAGAGCTTAGTCTGGTACAAGATTATATTAGTGGAGCATCTAGTGGGGATCGAACTCATTATACGAGCGAAATGATCAGCGATAGTGAGCTTGCTAACTATCGCTAATATGTTTGCCATTTCGATTACTATTCGTCGACTACTGCATAATAAAAAAAAATTAAAAAAACAGAATTTGTAGAAACGTTCTCAGCCCGACCATCTTCCTAAAATCTGATCAAATAACCAAGCATCTGATTTTTTTCTTTGGAAGTGGTTTTTGGCTGAGCCTAGAACTTGTACACACTGTCTTGTAAAATGCAATGTGCATCTATATTGTGCATAAATTTTCTTTACAGAGCGCAGATACTACAATTTTATCTTAGGCAAGAGGTCGGAGGCACGACACTTATATCCTATGCAGAACGCTCGGCTACTCTTATCCTAAACAGAGGTGCAAGTTTATGCTACGATTTAAAAAAAAATTCTATCCATGTTTGTGGGTTATGCTGGCATTTTAAAAAAGATTGAATAAAGGAAAGAACTTTTCAAACTGCGAATATTTAAAACTATACAAATTGAACGCCAACGGAAATCTTTTTGCCTCTGAATGTATTTTATATAAAAATTACTGAAAAGAACATTTTCTTTCAACAGTTTCAAAACTTTGAACTTGGCCTGCACAATAAAAATAATTAAAAAATAAAGTCAGATACCGTATCTGATGGTATGCATAACATTATTTTTTCCTCTGAAAAATGATTAAAAATATCTCCGTTGCCGTACATTAAAAATTGAGTTATCTGGTAAGTTAATGTGTGTATTACCCCCATTTGACTTTAACAGGTTCGCCAAAACGCCGTTAGGTTACGCTGTTAAACAGCTATAAAAACAGGATACTTTGTGTTTTCTTTTTTCGTTCTTTCTTTCTTTCTTTCTTTCTTTCTTTTCCTTCTAACATACCGTAGAAGTAACACCAGCCCGGGGACTTGTTCCCAGCATAGGGATATCTTTCTCCGGGTGACTGAACTCTTTCACATTCGCGTGTATCACGCATGCATACTGATACACACAATTCTTAATAACAAACTTTTAATGTCTTTTTTTTTTCAACTATATTTACACGCATAACAATGATGACTCGCCATTTGCATGCGCAGTTTTGTTTGCCACTGCTTTTAGAACAACTGAGAGCAGTACCGTTACAAATATTTACCAAGATGCTGTAGACTACCACTACTTGTATTGAACCTAACTTCGTCATACTGTAATATTAAATATAATCGGGAGTGGTCTTATATATAACCAAATACGTTAGTTTTTACGCTTCTGATTAAAATAGTCATGAAAACTAACAAGTTTCTTTTTAAATTCTCAGTCTTTTGGTAATTTCAAACTTGGTTAGATGAGCATTAAGCTTCTTGTCTTATTCTGGCAAAAGGCAACAAATTTCGGGCACTCAGTGAGAAACGAACTTTTAACACAACAGACAAGTTTGCTGACCAATGACCACACGGAGAGGCGTTCACTTCATAGTTCTTTACTATACTAAGCTCAAGTTACTTTTAGTACGTAGAAAACTTATATAGAAATTATATATAGAAGTAGATACAAGTTAGGTCTTATATATTTAATTAATCAGCTAACTTACAATTTATATAAGAGGTTAAAAAATAATGTATTCATTGTTTTAATAATTGCAATGATAAAAATGAGTTTAAAACGATCTTACCGATTTATCAAGATAAAAACCACCCAATTTCCTCCCGATTAAACGGAGGTGTTACACGGTTTGATTGAAAGAAATATCAAAGAAAAAAAAAAAGAAAGAAAGAGTGTGGAATTGTCTGATGATGCGTTTTTAATGGCGGTCTTCATGTAAAGATTTATTTCATTGACAAGTATAGACGCCGCTGCTGTTGCTTTCCAAAAGAAAGAAATATTTGATGCGGATACATTTTTAATAGATGTCACGTGATGTCTAGCTAGAAAAGTGAGTGTAAGTGAGCACTTTATACTAGGGCTGCCACTTTTAGTACTTTCGTACCAAACTGATACTTTTGGCTCCTTTTACATATGTTTGGTACGGAAAATTTCGAACGTTTCGACAATTTCCTTTCAAATTTATATTA